GTGGGGGAGAGAGAGGGGAGGGGGAGAGAGAGAGAAAGAGAGAGGGAGGGAGGGATCGTACCCACCAGCAGGGATCTAACTCGCAACCTAGGCATGTGCCCTGACAGGGAATGGGACTAGCAGCCTTTTGGTGCATGGGATGACACTCCAATGTACTGAGCCACCCAGCCAGGGCAAGAACAAACATTTTTAATTATAGCAAATCCTTTTTACCATCTCCCAGTTCAAAACCAACAAGGCCTATGGCTCTACATCCAGTAACACTGTGATAGGTTGGGGATACAACCATGAACAAAACACATACTGTTCTGGTCTTCCCATCCATCTCACAAATAAAGGGGCCTTGAAGGCCATCATTATATAGATAGGAAATTGAAGCTCAAAGAAGAGAAATGATGTTCCCAAGGCATTGGTGAGTGGGGTCCCAATCACCTGACTCCTAGTTTCCCATCACACACTGTTGTCTCTGGGATCTCTGACTGGCGCAGGCTCTCCCACCCCCATAACACCCACCCAGCTTATGGGCCTCTACTACTTTGTTCTCCAGCTGCTGCTGCCGCCTCTTCCACTCCAGGGCTTTCCAAAGAGCCTTACTGGGAGCAGCTGCACAGCTTAGCTCTAATGGGGAAGGTGGCCAAACTCTTAAGAGTAGTAGAAGGGCATGTGTGTGCATGCGCATGTTTGCCTGCCTCAGCCTGTCCAACCTGTCATTAAACATTTATCAGCTTGTACTGGAGAAACACCTTTAATTTAGAAAGACGAGGGGACCCAGTCTCTGAAGGGGGAGGAAAAAGCTTATAAAGGGCTAATCACAAATGTGGACCAAAACACAACTCCAAGCACACTGTGGCCCTGACGAAAGCAGGGAGGTCAGGTTGCCTAGATATGTCTGAGGGGAATGGTGAAAATGACTGGATGTGGGGGTGAGGCTGTGGAAAGGGTCTGGGATGAGGTGTCCAGATGACAGGGCCAGTCATATGTGCAGGTCTGTTCCCTCGCCCTCACGAGGGCCTCCCTTGTCCTCCAACTCCGTGCTGTGCTGGAGCTGGGTTTGGTTGGTCTTCAGAAGATGATGCTGTGGAGCAAAGAACTTAGATTTCCCTGCAGGATTCTTCACAAGAGCCTTACAGCTCAGCCAGGGATCTCCTGGGAGGAGGGCGGAGGCAGTCCCAGACAGAATGCCTCTTCCTTCTCGTCAATCTCCAAGGACCATCTGACCCATGAGCTCTAGAACTCCTAGTCCCTAGCTCTTCAAAAACCCGAGATGCAGAAGACTCCTGAAAAAGTTGCTCTCCAAGTGTGTCTTATATTCCAGTAAGAGTTTGGGTTCTTGCTTGACCGGCATGGCTCAGCAGTTGAGCATCCACCTATGATCCAGGGAGATCGAGGTTCGATTCCTGGTCAGGGCACATGCCGGGGTTGTGGGCTTGATCCCCAGTGGGGGGGGGGGTGCAGGAGGCAGCTGATCAGTGACTCTCTCATCATTGATGTTTCTCTCTCTCTCTCCCTTCCTCTCTCTGAAATCAATAAACATATATTTTTTATATAAAAAATAAAAAGTTTGGGTTCTTGCCCTAGCTGGTTTGCCTCAGTGGTTAGAGCATCAGCCCTTGGACTGAAGGGTCCCAGGTTTGATTCCAGGCAAGGGCATGTACCTCGTTTGCAGGCTTGATCTCTGGCCCTGGTCAGGGCATGTGCGGGAGGCAACAAATCGATCTCTCTCACTCTCTCCCTCTCTCTCTCCTCTCTGCCCCCTTTCCACTTCCTCTGAAAAGTAATGGAAAAATATCCTCGGGTGAGGATTTAAAAAAAAGAGTTTGGGTTCTTGTCTAGAGAAGCTAAGCAAACACCAAGGAAAGAGCTAGGGAAGGCACCTGGCTCCTGAAACTTTCAGTTCACGTATCCATAAGACAACTCTGAACTTCAGGCCTGTATGTCTACCTGCCTGCTGGACATCATCTGGATGTCCTGGACTCCATGTGTCCCAAACTAAATGTATTATCTTCCCTCTCAGTCCAACTTCCAGGCCTTCTGTGTCCCCTTTTCAGCAAATGGCAAAACTATCCATCTATTTACTCAAACTAGAAACCCAAAGAGTTACCCAGGACTCCCTCTTGTCTCCTATCTCCCCTACCCAACTTCCATGCTGTCTAATCCAGTGGCAAATTCTGTGCTCTCGTTTCACCCAGCAGCTCAGCAGCATCCAAATCAGATGTCCACTCATTCTGGAACACTCTCCTCTCTTAGCCTCCATAACAGCACACTCTGCCAATTTTCCTCCCACCTCACCTGCCTCTCCTCCTCTGTTCAACTGCTAAACGTTGGAGTACCTCAAATCATGGTCTTGTCTACCTAGATTCTTGTATTAGTTATGCTTCTCCAATTCCATGACTTTAAGTACTGTCTTAATGTCTGAGACCACCAAATCTGAATCTCTCCTCTAAAGCTTAAATCTGCCTGCCAAATTACATGCATCTTCAACTTGCTTTGTCATAAATCAAACTCCTGAAGCCACATGTGTTCAATCCTACACCTCATCTTCTTCATCCCAGTAAGAGTGAGTGATCCATCCACCAAATTGTTCAACACTGACAACCTGTAAGCCATGCTTGATTCTACTCTTTCTCCCATCCCGCTAGTTCAAAACCAACAAAACCAATAGGTCAACCTCAAAAATATGTCCCCAATTGCCCACTTCTCTCCATCTTCAGCCACCATCAGCCTGGTCCAAGTCACCATCATCTCTTGCCTGGACAACTGCAGTAATTCATCCTCCTGCTTCTATTCTCGCCCTCCTCCAATTCATTCTTAACACAGCAACCAGAGGGTTCATAAATACAAAATGTGATTATATGACTCTTCTGCCTAAAACCCTCCAAAGGGCTTCCATAATACTTAAAATCCAAAATAAAATATAAAATAAAATTCATGGGTAATTGATCTGATCTGGCCTCTGTTTACTTCTCGAACACCATATCCAACCCCTCTCCCCCTTGCTCCCTACATTCCTGCCATATTGGAATTCCTTTGTCTTTAGAACATGCTAAGCCTTTCCTGTTTTAAGCATTGGTGTTCCCTCTACTTACAACTGTATTCCCCTTGATTTTTGATCAGCTTCAATGTCACCTTCTCAAAGACAAGAAACAGAAAAACCAACTAAAAGTGGCTTGACCAATAAAGAGATTTTTTTTTTAAACTTATATAGCCAGAATCTTAAGTTATGGCTTTTCTGGAACTTGTAAAAATAAGTGGCCCAGCAATATCATATCCTTCCCATCTTGCTATCTACCAATCTCAGCTGGTGAGCTAACTCTCTTCCTAATCCAACCTTCACATACCAATATCAAAGGTAGAAACTTACTATGTCTTTTTTAAAAAAATATCTAAGAACCTTTCCTAGAATTCTCTAACAGGCTTCCTCTTTCTCCTCATTGTCAAGAACTAGGCCACGTGCTCACCCATAAACGGATCAATGGCCGGGCAATGGGACCAGATAATCAATCAAGTAGAGAAGGGTGGACCCCAGAATAAAATCACTGTTCTGCAAAGATGGGGGCCTGAAAAGCACAGCTGAGTAGGTAAACAATAGTGCTTACCATATCTTCCCTGCACCATGCAATCTAAAGTTGCCCCCACTTTTCATAATATTTACATTTTGTTTTCATAGTATTTATCACCATTTGAAGCAATATAATGTAGGCCAAACAGGCTCTGAGGCCACACTACCTGTATGTGAAACCTTGCTACCCCTTTACTAGCCGTTGAGTTAAATTACTCAACGTCTCAGTTTCCTCATCTGTAAAATGGGGATGAGGATTAAATTACCTACCTCATAAGGGTGTCGCGAGGATTAAATGAGCTGCTGTACGGATTATACACGTAAAATGCTTAAAACAGCTACCCTGATTCCGGTTATTCCTAGAGCCCTGGTGTATTCTGGACATATTCTTGTCCTCATAATAAATTCCCCGGTCGGGCTTAAACCTGCCATTTCCGGGGCTCTCCACGGAGCGTCCTTTCCTTTCGCACCCCCTTATTTGGCTTTGGCGCCACAGGGAAGCGGCGCACCTGCGCTCTCCCCGCTTTCTGCCCGCCGTCTCTTCACCTGGTGCAACCTGGTAACTACACCTTTAAGATGCTTGGCGGGGGCAGAAGAATTTGAGGGCAGAGGCCTAGGGGTGCAAGCTTCAGACTTGCTCCTATTGGTCCAGCCCGGGTAAGGGGCGGGCAATAGCCAAGTACACATAAGTAATTGGCCTTTCCTGCGGCTCCGCCCAGTGAAGCAATCGCTAACGCCTGTGATTGGTCAGGGCCTCTGGAGGCGGGCTCCTTGCTGGACACCGGGTTTTTCCTCCCAGTCTGGACAGCAGCTAGGTGGGCGACATGTCTGCTGTGGGTGGGGGGAAGCGTGGGGACACGGCGGGAGAAGGCGGCCCCTTCAACTTCAGCCCGGAGCCCACGCTGGAGGACATGTAAGCCATCTTTGCCCAACCTGGGCTGGGGAAATCGCCCCCTTTCTCCCTTTTATTGGGGAGGGTCCCTCCACGTGGTCGGGAAGAAGGCTAGCAGCTGTGCTCGCGTCCCCGCTCTGCTGTCCGACCCGCGAGCCTTCTAACCTCATATTCAAAATGGGCTTAGCATTGACCACCGGAGGCAGGGGAAGTGGACACGCCCAGTGGGTAAGGTTAGAACTTGCCCTGAAGAAATACCGGGTCCGACGCTACTTCCGCCTCGGCCCTCTAGGAGTGAGAGGTAGAATGGGGGCAAATACGGTGAGAGGTGGAAGGCATTATTTCTTGCTGGAGGAAACCAAGGAAGACTTCTTAGGGCAAGTGCCCAAGGACCTACAAGGTCTCTCTGCAAGATCATAGGATTTAGATATGCAGAGATAGGGATTTGCCAGGTGGAGGAAACTGCAGAAGCAGCAGCAGCAGCAGATGGAATGGTAATGAGGGTATTGTTAGGTTTCGATAGAGTTTAGGGTCTGTGTAGGGGCTTGCCCATTTTATAGCTCCGTAGAAAAGACATGACTTAACGCCATCCAAGGAGTTAGTTGCAGAATCCCATATCCTCATTACATATCAGAGATGCCTGGGCCCTGCTACTCCTCCCCCATCCTCTAACCCTGGGACCTGGGCTTCCACCCCTTTCTCCTATACCAGCCGCCGCCTCCATGCTGAATTTGCTGCTGAAAGAGACTGGGGCCAGTTCCACCAGCCTCGGAACCTCCTCCTGGCCTTGGTGGGGGAAGTGGGGGAGCTGGCAGAGCNGGGAGGATGGGTGGCGGGAGGATTTATTTGATCATCAAATATCCATGGATTTAATTTCCCCTTCTCACTGCTAGGCTCTGTTCCTGGTGCTAGGGATAAAGATGTTTGGCCAAGACAGAAGAATTTAGATATGCAGAGATAGGGAGGACAGTCCCTGCCCTCTAGAGGCACCCAACTTCCTGGGAGAGAAAACAGGAAGCTAGATCTTGATCTAAGAAGGGGCAGTGCAACCCTCCTTTATCTCTATCTCTGGGGTAGAAAAGAAGGTATTCTATAGAAGACCTGCCTATGGCATTCCAGGCAGGGGCGACTACATGTGCATAGGTAGTGAAGTGGGAAAGGGCAAGTTAAATTCAGGGAGAACCCAAGACTCTTCCAGTGTAAGCTTCTCAAGGAAGAGCAAGGAGTTTGTATCTGTTTTATTTCCTGGTATGTTCCAAGTGCCTGGCACACAATAGACATTCAGTAGATATCTACTGAATAAGTGATAGAAGTGATAGGGCGGTAGAGGAGAGGGGTGGGATATGAACCCAGAATGATAAAATTGGGGTAAGGAATTGTTGGAGTTTGAACAGAAGACCTGACCAGATGTGAGTGGTAGAAAGAGCACGGTGTCAGCAGGGTGGATTGAATCACCAAAAGAATTAGGGCAGCCTGACAGGCATGGCTCAGTGGTTGAGAGTCGACCTATGAACCAGGAGGTCACAGTTCAATTCTGGGTCAAGGCACGTCCCTGAGTTGTGAGCTCAGTCCCCAGTAGGAAGGTGTGCAGGAGGCAGCCGATCTATGACTCTCTCTCATCATTGATGTTTCTCTCCTTCTCCCTTCCTTTTTCTGAAATCAATGAAAACATAAAATAATAAAATAATTAGGGCAGGGAGACCAGTGAGGAGGCTGGTGCAGATCAGGCCAGAGATGGTGAGGCCTAAGCCCGTGAAGTCACAGTGAGGGCACAGAGATGTGTGTGAGGGCAAGCTGTTCATTTATTACAGATTTATGAGCATCATCTGTGTGCTTGGTCTTCTAGAATCAAGAGATATGGCTTTCCACAAGATAGACATTGTTCTTACCTTCATAGTGCAAGGAGACTGACAATAAATAAGCAAACTAATTTTAAAACATCAGGAATTGTGATAAGTTCTAAGAGGAGAACACCAGGTTGTGAGAAAGAAGGAAACAGGGAGAAGACTTCTGAGAAAGTGACATCTGAGCTAAGACCTGACTAACAGGAAGGAGCCAGCCGTGGGAAAGCTCTAGGGGGAGCAGGGAGAAGATCATTCAAGGCAAAGGGAGCAGTAAGTGCAAAGGCCCTGTGACAGTTTGACCTGTTTGCAAGAGAAAAAGCCAGAGTGACTTTTAGGTGGAGGTTAGGGAGAGTAGTGGGTAATGATATTGGAAGAGGCAGGAATCATTCAGCTCATGTAGGACATGGAGGGTATGGTCAGGGGTTTGGATTTTATTCCAAGCACAGCTAGGGGAGTTTTAGCAGGAGAGGGACAAAATGTAACTTGTGCTTTTAAAAGATGATCCTGGGCATGAGTAGAAGATGAATTAGCAGGCTTCTCCAGTGGTCCAGGTCTGAGATTTAGTCTGGGGTGGTAGTGGCTAGGGCTAGAGAGAAGTAGAATTGGGTCTGGACAAGTGAAATGATCTCTTGCCAACTCTGGCTCAGGTGGGGACACAGATGTCTGGGTGACTCATCTGTTAGTGTCTTTTCCTCACCCTGACCTCCACGGGCCCTGATGGGTTGAATTGTCCTTGGAGGAAGTTCCTAGGGTGTGGGAATTCATTGCTGCAAGGACTGGGGTGCTCTAAGAGATGGAGCCCATTGTCCTAGCTAGCATATGTATGTGTGTGCCTGTCTGTGTGTTTCACCCCCAGTCAGTGGAAGCCTGATGAGGAGCCTGGTCCCCAAGCCTGGCCCCCTAAGGAACGGGCAGCTCTTCAAGAGGAGCTTAGTGATGTTCTCATCTACCTGGTAGCATTAGCAGCCCGCTGCCATGTGGATCTTCCGCAAGCAGTGCTCTCCAAGATGGACACCAACCGGCGACGCTACCCAGCACACCTGTCCCGTGGCTCTTCCCGAAAGTATACAGACCTGCCCCATGAGGCCACCTCTGAAGACCAGACTGGGGGAACTGCAGACCTTGCCTGTGAGTCCTCAGGTCAGGCCTAGAAAATGAGCCCAGGATCTGCAGTCAGCATGGCATCTGAGAACAGACAGGGGCCTGGCCATGGAACCTCATTCTAGTTCTTTCCTAACAGATCACCTGCCTGGGGTGCTCACTTCCTGAGGTGTGAGGCTCAAGAACCTCTGGAACACAGCCTCTTGGTATCTTTCTTTCTCAATAAATGTTTTGTTTAGGAACCTCTAGATTCTTTCTGGGGTGGCTGGTAGAGGCCGTCTCAACAGGTGCTAAAGAGGGGCACCAGGGTTGCTTCTGAGCCCACCTCCCTTGTTTCTCTATTGTAGCTCCCAGCTGCAGGGCAGAGATCTGATTTCTAGCAGGTTCCCTGAGGGATCTCCTGCAAGTTTCCTTCCCCTTTTGAGGCCTCTAACAGATTGGAGGCTGTACATAGCGTTAAGAGCCCAGATTTTGGAGCCAGACCATCAGGGATCAAATGCCATCTTTCGTTCTTATCGGATGATGTCCATCTGTTTCCTTATCTAAAATGAAAATAATAGTATCTGCCTGATAGGGTTGTAAAGTTTAAGTGAGTTATTACTGTCAATAGAGTGCTTAGGACAGAAGAACTAGAACTTTGTTAAGTTTGCAGTGATTATCTGTCTTTTCAACTCAAAATTTTCAGAGGCCAAGAGCAGGAAATGTCAACAGTTAAGGTAAGCCTGGGTCCTCCTGGACTGAGCCTCAGACCCCAGCACAAGCTGGGGTCAGGATGGGGAGCAGAACAGGGCTTCCACTTGGGCTTGGGCCTCTGGCCCCCTGCCCTGCCCTCCCAAGATCAATTTCTTGTCCCACCTCTATACCTGAGGACAGCGTTAGGTGCGTATGACTTACCCGTTGTGATGCCAGGCACATAACTTACTTTCCGGAGATGCTCGGGGCCTGCCTCCTCCATAGGGTGGGGTAATAACGGCAAAGGACCAGTCAGTTACTTTTGCTGCCCTCATCCTGCGTCCACATCAGTAAAATGAGGCGCCCCCCCTTGACTGGCCTCATTCCTGTTAGTGGCCTTATCCCTCTACCAGGGACCTCTCTTGCTTCCCAGGTAGAACAATCCAGATTGGAACTGCTTCAGCTTTGTAATCCCAAACCCACCCTGCTCCCTACCAGTGAGAGTTGGAGCCTTATCCTTAGGTCTGATTTTATTCCCTCCCCTTGATTAGTTATCTCCTCTCCATATAACCAACTTCTCTCCCTTTCCATTAGCCCTCCCACTAGCACGAAAATGGAGTCTTCTCCCTATAGATAAAACCGACAGACTTTCTCCAGCTACTTCCCTCATACTGTTCATGGCCAGGCCTCCTGAAAAGGGTTGTCTTCACCCACCCACTCCTTCCGTTTGTATCCTAACCCACTCAAGGCTGGATTTCACCCCTCTCTCCAACTGAAACTGCTCACCACTACCCCAAACTCCTACAACCAGTGGACACCAGAGCAGAAGCTGACTGAGCTGACCACTCCCTCTGTGAAACATTCCTCTAGTATTCCAAACAAGGCATTTTAAATTTATCTTTATTTCGAATGTATTACAGATATCCCCTTCCCCCCCCCATTGATCCCCTCCACCCTGCATCTGCCCTGCCCCCTCCACACCACACAAGACATTTTTGGTCTCCTACCTCTGGCTGTTCTTTCATACGTTCTTCTGGATGAGGTCTCAGGCACTCCAGACCTGATATCCCCAAGCTTTTATTTCCAATCACCTCTCCTACCCCCCCACGTTTACCTCAGATTCAGCACGTCCAGATTGGGGGTAACAACTGCTGCCACTTCAACTGTCTTACTAATCCTGAACCATCTGAGACACTACCTGTGGTCATCAAAGACAAGAAAATGAAGTAAGCCCCACCTTCCTCATCCTCAGAATTCTAGCTCCTTAGAATGTCCACTCCATCCATCTGCTCCCATCCCTCAGGCTTCTTTGCTGCCTTGGATCCTTTCACCTGGCATCTAAGTTCCCTAGTGGTCCCTCTCCTCCCGCCTTGGGACGTCTGCAAGCTCTAACAAGTCTGGCATGCACTTTCAGGGGCTCTCCCTAATTCCACAACCCCATCTCTCAGCCTTCAAGACCAGCTTAAACCTATCACCTCCAAAAAAAGCCTCTCTAAACTCCAAGACTGCATTAAAGACCTAACCAACAACTCCCCGTCACAGCAAATGACAGTGTACTGCAAATGCTTGTCCCTGCTCTGCCATCCACTGGCTGTCAGAACCTATTTACTCATCTGCTGAAATGGAGATATGATTTACCTAACTCTGGGATGCTGAGGATGACAGTGAGCTAATAATAATAAAGCACATAGAGCCTTTCACATAGTGCAATAGAGTATTGTCTGTTCACCACACTGAGCTCCAGGATGTCCGTGGCTGCTCACCAAAGCTCTGCAGAATGCAGTGCCTGTTTGAGCACGAATGTGCTATATTTATGGGCCCTTCCAGATCAGAGGTTATGAGGACATAACCAAGGGCCAAGTGTGGGGTGACTCCACACACACACAAACCCAGTTCCAGGAACCCCTTTGGGCTTATAGCCCCACTTGGTTCAGTGACAATTCACGTAAGCCACCTAGGCCTGGGAAAACCTCAACTTGGCTCCTCTCCCAGCCACCTCATTCACAGACACGGGAGGGGTGAAGATATAATACTTTATTCACTAACACGGGCTGAGGATTGTAGTGAGGGGGAAGAGGCCAGTTTCCAGAAATCCCGGCAGGGGATTCGCCATGTCTCCCAGGTCCAGGGCAGTCAGTCCTGCCATGTCACCCTTCCCCAGACCAGGGTGGCCTTGAGTCGTCCTTCCAGGTCAATTCAGCCCCTGGGGGTTGGGGCCCTGGCATGCTCCTCCACAGCCAGGCACTAGCACGCTGCAGCGACAAGAAGGGTGCTCATCTAGCCTCGCACTCTGGGCAGCGCTCAGTGGCAGTGGTGGCCTTGGCGCCAGGCGGTAGCTTGAAGTCTCGGCCACAGACAACACAGATGTAGAGACGGCGCAGCATGTGCGCGCGACGGTGGCGGATGAAGTGCGAGCTGAGGCGGAAGCGCTGGCCGCACTCGCCACACGGGTAGGGCCGCTCGCCCGTGTGCGTGCGC